CAGCAGGAACACAGATGCAAGAGTAGTTGCTCAACGGAATATCTTCATAGACCATTTACTTAAAAATGAATTTTCTTTTATTAAAATATTTAACTACCATAAGCAATAAAATGAACGATGTCTTTACAGATATTGCAGGAATGTATATGAACCAGAGAGAAACGCTTTAAAAAAAATCTGAAAATTGTGAACTACCCCAGCAATGAAATGCTGTACTTCCAAAGAGAATTGGGCTGCTTCTATTGATTTTGATAGAGAAAGATCCCAGGGATCAGTCATAAATTGGTCTTGTTTGATAATGTGGGCATCCACACAAAAAAAACAAAAACGAAATAACAAAACCCTGTAAATGTTCCTTTGTAAAACTTGTAAATTTTATTTATACTGTCTTGTTTTGTACACACATTTATGTGTAGTGAGCTCTGAACACATTGAAAATGCACTATATTTTTCTATTTTACTTGCAGAGCATCACAAACAAACATGTATATTCAGTGCTACATAATGTGTTTTCCCACATTTAGGACCAAAGATAGTTTTCGAAAACTTAAATGCATCATTTTCCCCCTCCTTTTTTCTCCTCCTTTTTAGATCACTGTACAGTGTTATATTTGTCATTTTATTTATTTGTTTCCTTAGAAAAATCAATTTGGTTATACTAATTTTTTGTTCCCCCTGCCTTTGTTGAAGCAAAACCTGTAAAAAGCTTTTAAACTAGTACAATCCCGTTACATAGACACTTCCATTTGTAATCTTTGTAATAGACTGTAAATATATTTTTGGAACTATAATGCAATGTGCATAAGGGTTATTTTTCAGTGTCCATATATGATTGTTTATACAATTCACAGCACTTTACAGTCATGCTGAGAAGCCTAACTTATTGCCTGGATTTGGGCAGAGTAAGAAAAAAAAGGTGAATATTCTTATTTCGTATTAGATTGTCGTTCAGTAGAAATGGAGTTATTTTCATGTATGCAGCTCAAGATGGTTTTTTAACTATTAAAATTAATTTTCTAGAAAAGCTGTAGCAGTAAGATGCAGAGTAGATGGCATGCCCAATATTGAAACTAGTACATGCAAGCACTCGGCCAAGGCACTTGGAGTAGCCATTGGAACACTTAATTAATAAACATCCATTTTGTGTTATAGCAAATGTTAAGTGCCTCACTACTGGGGTAGCATCTGTGGGCAATTGCACAGGGTGCTTGTCAGTTCTGCTGCTGCTTTAGGCATCCAGCAATGAGTTTAGGGGTCTAAGTTCAGGCACCTGCTTCCATATAAGTCTAGGCTGTTGTTTCTAAGGGCTTGGTGATTAAAGGTGCGATGCAGCAATGCTGGTATTGCTGAGAACCCAAAAAACCCTAAATGCAAGAGAGTCGAGGCCAGGCTTCACTTTTAGGACTTGTTCAATATTCTGAAGCACAGAGGCCTTGAAGCATGTGTTGTGGCCTGGGCTCACACATGTGAAAGTGAAGGCCCTAATGGTATTTCTTCCCTATTTTTTCTTGTTTGATTTAAGCCATCTTACTTGAATAGTAAATATATTTTAGCATTCATCTAAATACCTTGACTGCCTTAATGTTGCCACAGAGTTTTCCACATTTGAAAGTGGTAGAGTAGACCAGAAAGCACAATTGCTATCAATGCTCCTAGCTTTCGGAACATTACTGCAGTTTACGGCATGTGCATGTCAATGGATTTTTAACTGGTAGAGCAGCAACATGTTGACATTGATTGCAGTTCCCCATGTTCCAGGAAAACATAGTCCCATGTAAGAAAAATAAAGTGCCAGAGAAAGTTGATGGTGGGAGGAACTGAAGAAAAGTTTGGGTTGGAGGGAGAATTAAAGGCTAAATGATGAAAGAAAGAAATTATCTCAGTTTTAGCTTAATTTCATTGAATTTTTAAACTATACATTACTAAAGAAGACAGATTGTCAGGCTGTCAGTGAGGCTGATCTTTCTTGACTTTATCCATCTCCAAGCATCTAAAATAGAGATGCCTAAAACAAGCAGGATGAATCTCCCTCTAGGAATGCTTATCTCCATTATCTGTAGAGGGAACCCAGATGAGTAGCTTTAATTAGGTGTCTAACATCTAGATAAAGTTAAGTGAGGTGATTCCTACCCTATATGTCTTGGCTGCTACAGTTCCCCTTTCATGCTGAGTGTTGTAGAAAGGCAGCTCCTCCACTACTAGTATGTCCCAGAATGTATTTAAACTGGGCTTTATTACAGAGAGAAGTGATTCTTTTTTTTTTTTTTTTTTTTTTTTAATGAGAGATTTGTAACAGATAATCTAAATGCTTTTTATATATGGGTATTAATTCTTGAAAAAAGTTGTGGTTGTTCTGAGGAAGACCTGCCTAGTAAATTACAGTTATTTAATATTTTAAATAATCAGAAATATTTGCTGACATACTGCTTCAGTCCAGAGGTTATGTGATCAGATATGATAGTTGCTGTTTGCAAAACCATGTTTATCTAAAGCCTTGTCATGTGAAAATCTCCAGGAGGCAAAGATGCTTAAATGTATCTTAAATTGAATGTTGCCCTTAATATCTCAATAGCTGAGTTCTGTCTGTATTATTCTCCATTTAAAATGAGTTTTTTATATTTGTTTAAGCTGGAGTTATCTGGCATCCACTGAGGGAGTTTGAAAAAATGATTTTAAATTAAATTTGTTTTTCTCCACTGATAGTAATATACGGTAAATAGTTTCCACTGTTTTGAATGTTATGAAAACAATTGCTTTAATGTGGGGGATGAAGGGGTTTATTTTTGGGTTTTTGTTGTTGATATTTTTTTACATTTATTGGTTAGTAGTTGAAATAAAAAAAAAAATAATTTGTCCTTAATTTTCTAACTAATTCATATATAGGCATTTTGAGAATTATTTAAACTCCATGACTTCTGGGTTGCTACTGAGAGAGAGTGCTCATGTCACTTCAGACATAATACAAAGTGATGCTGAGACACCTTGCCATGGGGTGGGTTCAGCTGGCATTCTGTTGCCCAGTAATGGCATGAAGCAGTCCACTGGCTGTATGTGAGGAGTGAAGGCCAACTCAGCCTATAAAGGTCATTTCCCCTTTTAAAAATATATATGTGACATATTAGAGCTTACACATCCTTAATACATTATTTCCCTGCATGCAGTTAGAAACTGATGCTATAATCAAATGCATTTGTTTTGTTCGTGGTTTTTGTTAGTTGGTTTATTTGTTTCATTTCAAATAAGTGACATATGGGGTGCTTGTGGAAGAGAACAGTTCACAGACAGGATGACCGAGCCCAGATTAAGAAAAGTAGAATACAAATTCTTGCCTAACAGCAAGAGTACTGGCAGCATGTGCTGCAGGGATATTCAGGCAGTTTGTGCTAGAATTGTCTGAGAAACTAACACTGCAGGGTTTCTGCATGTTCAGGAGCTGTTACGATTGTACTTCTGATTAATTCACTCATATGTAGAAATATGCAAATATTTTCCCCCACTAACTAGGAATGTACTTGCAGATGGTAGAACTGGGATTCACAAGACTACTCGAAAGTCTTAGCCTCAAACGAATTTCTAGTAAAAGAAGAAATTCTGGGCAGCAGCCTATATTTTCTCTCCTGTTCCCTTAAGGGTTGTCAAACATAGCCAACAATTACTTCTAAACAGAGATCTTTATTGTTTGCATAGTGCAGCCTTCTTTTTACTTGGGAATAGGCAGTTCTGTAATTAAATTTCCTGCAAGAAGGTTTGGGAAGGGGTAAGGCAATATAGAAGTTCACAAGAAAATGATGAAAATGAGAGAAAGAAAAACCCAATCCAACAAATGACCTGTGAAACCCTAAGTATGTCTGGGCTTACCATTTTTGTAACACATTCTATATAGGAATTTGAAAAATATGAGAGTAAACCATAGGCCTAAAATCTGCAATATCCTGCAAAAAAATATCCTGACAGATGTGACAGAAAGCAAGCAACCTTTGTGGGAGTTTTATTTTCCTTTCTGGATTTGTTTTTGTGAGATTTTCAAGTTAGGATAATTCACACGCACATTTAGAGTAAAGTCTGTTGGGACAGGCTAAGAAACAAAATTAGTGTATCTAAAATAACCACAAAATTCTCAGTGCATTTTCAGGGTCAGGCAGCTTGAAGTGAAAGGAAGCATGGAGTTTATATGCTGTACAGACCGTATAGATTTTGTCCAGAGAGATTATGAAAAGTTAAAGAAAAAAAGTCTCCCTTTTATACCTGTTGAAAAGTCAAAAGATGGGAGTGAATGGAAGAGAGAAGTGTGAAACCATTCAGAATGTGTGAGTCTTCAGTTGCAGGGCTCTGCAAGACAATGCTTGTAGGGGAGTTCAGCAGTGTCAAGAATTTTTATTTAAGTAAACAGACACTGCTAATAAAATATACCTCGTAATCGAGTGTGGAATGGTTTCAGTACTCTGATTTTTCCTCAGGCCAGATTGGAATTTGTCGAAGATACTAAACTGAGACAGATGGGAAAGCAACTGGTAATACACAGCTCATTCAAACAGACTTGAAAGAGACACGAAAGGAGGATTTTTACGTAAACAGCATGAAAATAAAACATGAAGTCTGATCATATTTACTCTCAGAAGGTTTTAGGG